AACAACAATCAATTATSCTATCAACGCCTCAATAAAATCAGAATCCGTTCTCAAAATCCTTATACCATTCCTATSTTCGATTATACCGTCTTCCTGAGTTTRGTTGCACTGTTTAACCAAACGCTTGTTCATAGAGCCACRTCTTGACCTTCTTCCTGAACRCCAGCAAYGAAGGGGCCTGTCTGATGTCTACGGGTAGGGCATTCCATAGCCGAGGGGCCACCACCGAGAAGGCCCTGTCCCTCGTCCCCGCCAGACGCGCTTGTGACGAAGGCGGGACCGAGAGCAGGGCCTCTCCGGACGATCTTAATGTCCTAGTCGGYTCATAGGTGGAGATGGTTCATAGGTGGAGATACTCCATTGGTTCCCTTTCATAAGGGTTGCTTTTGGAAATAGAGGCCACAAATGCCATTCCTAAATATGGTATAATATAATGGTATAATGATTCCGTGTGAGAGGTCAAAACTCAGATGACAATTATTATCCATAGAACCATTTATTTGACCTAGATCCTTGAAAAATGAGAGCAAAGCATTCCCTCCACCCTCACCCCCATAAACACCACATCTTTTCTAAAAGCACCATCTAAGCCAGTGGTTCTCAACCTGTGGTTCACAAGAACTAAAATATAGTCCACAGCCTCACCGTTACTACACCATTGCAAGGAGAGTGACTGGTCTTGCGAAACCCTGTTATACTGCCGAGGCTTATTAAATATGGTTTTCTGTGTGCAAGCAGATGGCAACTACTGGATGGCATATGTTCTGTATCAGAAACTAGAGCTGATGTGCTCTATCCAATGCAGTTTTCTGAATCAGAACCTCAAATAACCAAACCAAATCTAAAGTTGACCAAAAACTGATTGGTAACCCTTTTGGTACTAATGTTGGAGTGGTCCCTGGTCAAATGGTCTCTAGTCAAAGAAAGGTTGGGAACAACAGATCTAGGCAGGAAAAAAACGTTGCTCTGTGGTTCTCATGCCATCTCATTAATGTGGTTCCGTATGATTGGATCCTGGCATTGCCGCTCAAAATGGGGGGGGGGGGGCAGGGGGGGGGAAGAAGGAAGGAAAAGGAAGGAAGGAAGGAAAGCAGGCTACCTGGAAGAGCTACAGAATGATATGTTGTGACTGAGGCAGGACCGTTGAATACACACACATGTACACTAACAAAACATGATTGACAAGCACCCCATGTATCAGCCTAAGTTTGTTTTCTGTTGCTTTAAAAGTGAACTCTCCCTGAAATGTGAGAAGCCAATGTAATATCATTATCATGACTTACCTTTTGAAATATGCTTTTATTTTGTGGAATAGTGTTTTGTTTTTCTAAAATGTTAGTGTGGTATAATTCAGTGTTTTCCTATGAGCAAATTATCTTCTGTAACTTCTCAAACATTCTACTCAGTTTTAAAGCCGCGCCCTTGGAGTATGGCAGACTGGAAATTAAAATGAATAAAACAAATTTCTCAAACATCTTGGTATTCAACACTTAACTTTCACATTTTTTATTGATGCACATGCTAGTCTACTGGCCCGTAATAAGTAGGGCAATTTTCATGTTAGGAAATTAACAGCAAAAGGTGAAGCAAGTGACATAGGCACAAGAATGCCCTGGGGACCACCTAGCTTAGGATGTCAGGGAAAATCCTATATGCAATTGCAAAAGTTATGTCTGTGCAAAGCAAAAAGCAAAAAAGCTCTTCTAGCCTCTGTTACGAAGTATTTATGAAGCCTAATGAAGATGCAGTCGGAACAATTATGTATATATGATAGTTAACTGCAATAAATAAAACATCAAAGTGCTTTACTCTCCTATTTACAACATTATTAAATACCTTGGTGATGTTATCTATCTCATGTGAAAGAAAGAGTTTGGTAGGTTTGTCATCTAAGAGAAATATTTTGTAAGAGCATTACAGGTAACCGGAAGGGAGCTACAATAGTGTAAATTTAATCCTACATTGAAATAACTCAATAGGACAAGGAGTAGCAATATTTGTGCCCACCCTACTGTCCCATAGTATCTGCTGTATGGTTAATAGACCATGCTGATTTCAACAAAGCTGGTTCAATTAGGCTTTCTCTCTATGTAGACTCAAAATGTACTCATAATGAAATGCGCAGGTACAAGATGGGTGAAGCCAGGCTCACCAACAGTCATGTGAAAAAAGTCTTGGAGAGTTAGTAGACAACAAGTTGAATATGAGCCAGCAATGTGATGCAACAGCTAAAAAGGTCACTGGGGCTTTGGGCTGCATTAAAAGGAGTTTAGTGTCTAGATCAGGCATGGGCAAACTTCAGACCTTCAGGTCTTTGGGACTTCAACTCCCACAGTAGGCTGTTAGGAATTATTGGAGTTGAAGTCCCAAACACCCGGAGGACCAAAGTTTGCCCATGGCTGGTCTAGATCAAGGGAAGTCATGGTGCCTTTCTATTCTGCTTTGGTCGGACCTCATCTCTGTGTCCAGTTCTGAACACCACAATTCAAGAGAGATATTGACTCTGAACTAGAAGGTGTCCAGAGGAGAGCAACTAAAATGATCAAAGGCTTGGAGAGCATGGCCTAGGAGAAGCGGCATAAAATTTGGGATGTTTAGCCTACAAAAGAGAAGATTGAGATGAAACATGTTTAAATATTTGAAAGGATGTCATAAGGAAGAGGGAGCAGGCTTGTTTTCTGCTGCCTTGAAGAACAGGACTCAAAGTAATGGGTTCAAATTGCAGGAAGGAACATTTCACCTGAACATTATGTTAAGTTCATTACTGTAATTGCTGTACAACAGTGGCACTCTGTATCTCGGAGTGTGGTGGAAGCTCTTTCTCTTGAGGCTTTTAAGCAGAGGCTGGTTGGCCATCTAACTGAGGTGATTTTATTGTGTTTTTCTTGCATGACAGGGGTTTCAACTAGATGGCCCTTCCAACTCTATGATTCTATGAGGCAGGTGTCTACATGGTTCAATTCAGCCATGATTTTAAACATTTGCTATGACAAACTACCAATGCACTCTCAAACTCATGTCATTTAGTTGCTTCTATATCTATTTGTTTCTTTTTATGATTGACAAACAGTGTTTACAATGCTGGAGATAAAGTTTTGGGGAATACTTCTCGACCAGACATGAAGAGACAATAACGACTAAGAATGTACACCACCGAGAGTGACAATGGATGCTCTGGATATACGCAGTAGCATGGGAGCAAGAGTGGGAGAGTCATGGGATCTCTAAATCAGCATGTGTGAGACAACAGCCAATTAAAGGGGTCAAATGGCACCCCGACGTTTTCCAGCCAAAGTCTCTAAAACCTTTATTCACACTGCACTGCACTGCGCCACATAGTTGAGGGATACAGAGATGATCAAAGAGTCAGAGGATTCCTCTACAGACCAGCCAGGAAGAGATGAATGGCTGAAAGGAAAAGTCCCTGGACCTCTTACTGTGCATAATATATTCCAAATATTACTTAAGCACTGATAGTAGCATTATGTTTTACAATTTCATTACAGCTTTTGGATCTTATCTGTCTCACAGGGTGATATCTTTCATAAATACACAGCCAGTTCTTCCCATCTGAGAAATGCTTGGTCTTCATCTGATCTTCATCTTCCATAGTCTGTCAGTGGTGGGCTTTGTTTTTATTTGCTAGCTTCTCTGGAACACCAGCTGGGAAGTATCTTATTCAGCGATTGCAAGTGCTATGAGATGTAGAGCTGAAGTATGCATCTTGCAAAGGCTCAGATGATGGAGTTGCCTTTTTGCTTTTCCTATAAATATGGCAAAAAGCCGTCATCATTTTTCTATCGCTGTTGAAATGCTTCCAATGGGAAAAAATAAACAATGGGGGGAAAAATAAACAAGGAAGGGGGAAATATATGCCACAACTAAATAACCCATCCGTTTTAAGTATTTGATATGTTTTCAGAATATTCCTTCTGGGCATAAAAGTGCAATTGGTTAGAAACTGGTTGCTCAGGTAAAGCAGGGCATTGGTGCACACAGGTTTCAGGTTTACCTCTAGCAAGCCTGGCATTTATTTCGTTTTTATTTATAAGCATGCCATGGGGTGGCGTTGGCTGCTCAGTAAATCCTCAAGCTTGTCTTTTTGGAACTCAGCAGGCAAGTCCTCATTTACAACCAATCATTCACACTTGGGCCTGTATCTTAAAGTAGGTACAATAGAGTCTCGCTTATTCAACTTTCACTCATCCAACATTCTGTGTTATCCAACGCAGTCTGCCTCTCGCCCGGATCCATAGCTGTTTCAATACATTGTGATGTTTGGGTGCTAAATTTGTAAATACAGTAATTACTACATAACATTACCATGTACTGAACTGCTTTTTCTGTCAATTTGTTGTAAAAGATGATGTTTTGGTGCTTAATTTGTAAAATCATAACGTAATTTGATGTTTAATAAGTTTTTCCTCAATCCCTCCTTATTATCCAACATTTTCCCTTATCCAATGTTTTGCCGGTTCATTTATGTTGGATAAGCAAGATTCTACTGTACATTGATATTATCTACATGTAGATTTACCTACATGTTAATTATCTGGAACTACTCCTTTTGGAACTAACCAACAGGATTTAGGCTCATGTTTGCCTCCGAAAAAATGACAGAATAGTCCTCATTTGTGAAAGCCACAAAGAAGCAATGGGACAGGAGAAACCGTGGCACTTGGGAAGGAAAGACTGATAGTAGTTTCTTATAGAATCAATGTATCCAATTGGTGGGACTAAAAAGTGTATGTAGATTACTCTAGAGAGGCATCCCTGTATGTTTATTTGCATGGGGACATGCAACTGTGAAGTCCAAGCATGTTTTCCAGGCCATGCCTAAAATACAGATATTTCACTTTATTTTCCTGCAGGTGTTTTCTTTCTTCCTTTTAGCCCAATAGGGTTTCCTGTCTTGAATAATGTGCTTCAGTCTGCAATCTGTTTTCACAACAAACAAGTAATTTGGTTATGAAATAGAAGACGGCCAGGAAGGGGGAAAAACATTTAAAGTGTGCAAATATGGAGTCTGCTGTCATTGTTAGTTCTCTAAAAAGAAGCATAATCCTGATCTCAGACATGTTACATCACAAAAACTTCATGGCTAATGGCAGCCCCATATGGGAAAAGCTGTCATTGAGAGAGAGCAAGAAGGGTTGCATATGACTAAAACATACCTGGGATCCCCTGCCTATGTAGAGAATCCCATGCTTAGGATTCCCTGCTGAAATGTGCCTGGGATTCCCTGCTGTAATAGAGAACTTCTCCCTGTTGACTGGGTAAACAAACCCAAAGGCTGCAAAGAAAATGGATAGCATGCGACATACTTCTTAGTGAGTATAGACCATCTGAAAAGCAAGTGTGCTTTCTTGCTTGAGAAAGAAACATCTTGGGATTAAAAGGAAGCCTAGGGGCTTAGGGTTAGCATCACCTTAGCTGGAATTTCTCTAAGCTTCTGCCATGCAGAAAACCCAAAGTGAATCTGGCAGTGGAAAGTAAAGTGAAAGGGAAGAACTATATGAGAGCAAGAACGTTGTTAGTTGACACAAATGTTTCAAGGCTGCTTCCTTTTGGATTTGCGTGCGGTTGGACTGCCCCCAATGTGCTCCCGCTTCTCTTTGTGGACACAGTAATATTTAGTGACCCGCTTACGACACTGTTCACAACGAACTGCACAACACCAATGGAATTTGCAGTTGCAGCTGGACACCATTTCAGCTCGCTGTTCCTCCACAGCGAGGCCACAGTCCCCACACAAGCGCTGGCAGCTACGTTTCTCCCACTTGCTGAGGGCCTTGCCCCTCTTCAGGCACTCTCTGCCTTCAGTCCCCAGTAGGCCCAAAGTTTTGTTCTCCAAGCAGTAATCAGGTGAGTCTTCCAGGTGGACTAATTCCTTCTTGGAGATGGAGCTAAAGGTTTCAGCAATTGCCCCACGACTGGCAGCACTGTTGCCCGCCCCTTGGAGAAGGTCAACTTTCAGTCCTTTGTGGTACTTCTCTTTCAGGTATGTCCCCACTTCTCGAAACTCTGGCAGTTGCAGCCAGCAGGTCTGAGTGGTGCAGCTTCCAGACACTCCATGACACTTACAGGTTCTCTTCATGGTCCCTTTCACTGCCTACATAGATGACAGGGAAAGACAGCATGAATTTTTTTTGCAACACAACCAAGTGGGTGATATTCTTCCTTGCAGACAACATGAGACAATATCTCAGACAACAATCTCAGACAAATATCTCAGACAATATCTCAGTCTACAGACAACATCAGCTCTTCGGTTTAGAAATGGAGATAAGCACCACCCCCCAGAGTTGGACATGACTAGACTTAATGTTAGGGGAAACCTTTACCTTTACCTAAAGGAAGAACTGTTCCTCAAAGATGCATAGATCACATTTATAGGCATCTTCACAATGTGCCCCTCTATTCAGCCAGACTTCACAATTGAAAACTCATGCCCCATTAGAGAAAAAGCACAAAATATGCATCTCCCCTGGCTTTGCCATTTGTTGTTAATGGGGAAGGTGTTACCTTTCTGCCAGCTTCGTTGTTATGCAGGTTCATTGCTGCTCTCGCATCCTGTCCTGTCTCAAGTGCATCCACAAATTGCTTGGAAATGGCTTCCCCAAATCCTACATTGTCACTGCAGCCTCCCCACAGCCATCCTTGTCCTCCTATGGAGAGAGACATGCGACAAGGCAGTTATATGAAGTCGTCAGCTCAAATCAGTCCCATTATCCTGTTATTGAAAAGATCAGAAAAAGAGCTGGATTCTCGGTAGATGTTGAGTATCCTTTAGCCTGAATTCTGAAATCTGAAATATTCCAAAATCCAAAATTGTCAATGAGTGGCTGAGATAGTGACCATTTACTATGTGATGTAGGCACACTTCGTTTTGTATAAAAGACTTTTAAAACTAAATGTGTATAAAATTACTTTCCCACTATGTATAAGATATATTTAAAACATTTTTTAGATTTCTGTACCATTTTCAAAATACCTCACTGTGAAAGTATATGTGAATACAGATATTCCAAAATTTTAAAACATCCGAATTCTAGAGTACTTCTGGATCCAAGCATTTCAGATAAGGGGCTCAATCTGTATAAATCAGAAGGTTTTTTTTATTTTATTTTAGGCTCTAAGTCAAGAACAACTTTCACAAGACCATGGTTGGGTTGTTTGTCATATTTTGGATACCTGAAACATGGTACATTTTCAGAATTCAAAATATAGTTCAGGAAGGAGAAAGAGACATATTCTATCCTGTCCCATTCCAGTTTAGAAATTGATTACATTAATAAAATGCCTTTGATCCACCCAGATATTGAAACTTAGGTCTTAATCTTCAATATTTCATAGATGAGAGCCAAACTATCTGAGTGTGGCCAAGATGACAAAATCTATTAATAAAACAGAACATACAAGTGGCAATTTGCTTTTGTCTGAACCTGCTGGGAAGGACAAGGTTCCAGCACCCACTTTCTCCACCAACCCCCCCCCCCCAAATTGCTGAGTTAATTGAGTACAAACTGGGCTGTGTACTTTGAACTCAATTTGCAAGATTTTTTTATGACCTTAAGACGGGCCACATCTAAGCTACCAAATAATCCCATTTCTGAATGCACATTATCTGCTTTGAACTGGATGATATGACAGTATGGGCTCATATAATCCAGTTCAAAACAGATAATTTACAATCAGAAACTGGATTATAGCAGAGTCTCACTTATCCGATATAAACAAGCTGGCAGAATGTTGGATAAGCAAAAATGTTGGATTAAGGAAAAGCCTATTAAACGTCAAATTACATTATGATTTTTCAAATTAAACACCAAAATGTCATGTTTTACAAAAATCAACAAAAAAAGCAGTTCAATTCAGGGTAACATTATGTAGTAATTACTCTATTTACGAATTTAGCAGCAAAACATCACAATGTATTGAAACAGTTGTGAATCCGGGCAGGAGGCAGGCTGCGTTGGATAATACAGAATGTTGGATGAGTGAAGGTTGGATAAGTGAGACTCTACTGTATATGGAAGTGTAGATCTAACCAGAAAAGAAAGTGGGAGCAAAGAGGAAATTGGCCATTTTAAAAGCAACTGGGTAAGTGAGAGGATAATAGATTAATCAGGATTATCTCTGCCAATGAAGGGCAGCTGGATAATATGCACATGTGTGCATATAAAGCGAGAGGGGTTACAAGACTATGCAGATCAGGCCTGTCCAAAACCTCAGTTTTCCTGTGTTTGAGGAGGACTCCTTCAGGTCAAATTCATTTGGATCTCCACCCAGACAGGGAGCTCCAGGATTCTCAGCGTTTTCAGGGCATGGTATCTGGAAAGCTATGTTGTTAAGTACATATACTTGTGGTGGATCAATGACAGGGACCAACCAGGAAATAAAATGCCAGGGATCAGCTAAGTGCAGGATTCAGGCCTTTCCCTGTGTTTTTTTTTTTAAATCTGGGGTACAGTTGCATTAACTGATTTACCCCAGGTTCACTTGCAACAAACTGCAGGCGGATGCAAGAAGTGCCCTAAGAGTGACTGTGTTTATCTGCCTTGAATATTGATGAAAACGTTCAACTTCCTACAGGGAATTCAATTGTCATTTCATACCGTAAAGTCTGGTGGTTATCTAGATGCTACTTGTAATCACCACATTTGGGATGTTGTTTCTTTGATGTGGTATCCTTTTGGGGCTAAGGTACTTTTGGAGAGAAAATGCCATTCTGGCTATTTCCCCAGCATATTCCACTGCCGGACAGCTCTTACTATTGTTTAAACACAGTAGTAGGGCTGGGCGGTTTCATTTCGTTAATTCGTAATTCGTTAATAATTCGTTATTTTTTTCAATTACAAAACGATAACGAACCATTCTGGAGCAATTTTTTTAAAAAACGAATTTTTAAACACGTTTTGTAAATGCTTCATATTTCGTTATTGTATTCGTTTCGTTATTGTTCTGAGGTCGTTTCGTTATTATTTCCGCATGTCTGGGGCAAGTTTTTTGTTTAATTAGTGAAAAAAAATTTATAATATCACACCAACAGTCAACAACAGAGGGAGAGGGAAGCTTCAGAAGTTTTTGGAGGTTTTTTAGCGTATTTCGCGGTCGCGTCCGCCATTAACGAATCGAGTCGTTATTGTTTTGGAAATCGATTCGTTAATGTTTTGTAATTTTTTTCACATTTACGAAATTTCGTAAATACCGAACTTTTTTAAGGGAAAATTTTGTAATTATTTTAAATATCGAAACAAAAAAACCCCCCAAATACAAATCGATTTTAGAAACAATTTTTTCCGTTGTTACCCAGGCCTACACAGTAGGCATATTTAAATATTTGAAAGGATGTCACACTGGGAAGGGGGCAAGTTTGTTTTCATATAGAGATTAGGACACAGAGCAATGGATTCAATTTGCAGGAGAAAAGATTACACTTAAACATTAGGAAGAACCTCTGGTGGTAACAGCTGTTTGGCAGTGGAATATGCTGCATGGAAGCATGGTGGTGGCTCCTCTAGAGGTTTTAAGCAAAGGCTGATGGCTATATGTTGGAGTCTTTGATTGTGTTTTCCTTCATGGCAGGGGGTTGGACTGGATGACCCTGGTGATCTATGATTCTATATTCAATAAAAATAATCTGCAATGAGGTTTGCTAGGGCCCCTCTAAGATTAGGCTGCAAAGCTGGGCCGGAAAATACAGGTTGACTGTTTAGCTACGCTTGCCAAAATGCTAAAAATCTTCCCCCCAATTATCGATTTTTGGGTGTTGTGTTGGGAGTCTTGTCAAGAAGAAGTGTGTGGTTAAAATTGCGCCTTACCAAGCTGTCCATTACGGGAATCATCACAGCCACAGTTGTCAAAGTCTCCAAGGCTGCAATTTCTTGTTAGTGTATACATGACTCCAGCAGAGCTGATAGCATGGACAAAGGCTGTTTCTCGGTTTGCTGTCAAGGAAAGATAGAAAAAAATAGCTGAAAGAACTGCACATGAGAGATGCAACAGCAAGAGTTTTGTTTAAAGGGAGGGGAAAGATGCTAACCAGCAGGATTCTAGTAAAAATGTGTGTTGTTTTATCCACAAAATAAAGTTTTATAAGCAGTCAAATCTGCAAACCTGAAAGAAAGGAAAGTTATTACTTCCTTGGTATTTTCTGGGAAGAGCGTGTTAACAGTTTTCTGAAATAATTAAAAACAGGGCAGATACTGCCCTCAGAAAGCAGCCATGGCAAGAGCCAGCCTCCCAGTGTTTCCCATTCCATCTGGTCTGGTGTGGGTGGGTGGGTTTTGCTCTAGAACAGTGATTCTCAACCCATGGGTCCCCAGATATTTTGGCCTTCAACTCCCAGAAATCCCTGCAATTGGTAAACTGGCTGGGATTTCTGGGAGGTGTAGGCCAAAACACCTGGGGACCCACAGGTTGAGAACCACTGCAGGAGATGAAAGATAAACTTGCTATTTATAAATTATTCAGAGGGTCAGACTTCCTGTTCAACTGAAATTTAATTAAAATAAGAGTGATTCAGACAGGGAAGCTTAAAGAAGACAATGATGCTGGGGGAAATGGAAGGAAAGAGAAAGAGAAGCCGATCAAGGGCAAGATGGATGGATGGTATCCTTGAAGTGAATGGCTTGACCTTGAAGGAGCTGGGGGTGGTGACGGCCAACAAGGAGCTCTGGCATGGGCTGGTCTATGAGATCACGAAGAGTCAGAAGCAACTGAATGAATAAACAACGAACTCCTGCCAGGCAGAAACATATAATCAAAAATTTCCCATCCAGCCTCTGTTTAAAAATCTTCAGAGAAGATCTACTACTAAACAGCTCTTACCATAAGGATTTTTTTCCTAATGTTTTGGTGGAATCTCTTTTCCTGCAGTTTGAATCCATTGCTCCATGTCCAAGTCTCTAGAGCAGCAGAAATCAAGCTTTCCCCCTCCTCACAGTGACATCCTTACAAATATGTAAACATAGCTATCACGTTCCTTCTTGGCTTTCTTTCCTCCAAGCTAAACATACCCATCTCCTCACAGGGCTTGACTTCCCAACCTTTGATCGTTTTGGTTGCCCTTCTTCAGACATGTTCTAGTTTGTCAATGTCCTTCTTGAATTGTGGTGCCGTGAACTAGAAACAGTATTCCAGCTAAGGTCTGACCAAACCAGGATAGAGTGGGACTGTTACTTCCCTTCATCTATTCTCTTATTGGAGTATAGTGTGCAGACACATAATTTAGTCCTTAGACTTCGATGGTTTCTTGGAAGGGGTTGAATATTGGCCAGAGGTGTGCTGACTAACTATGGTCACTAGTTGTGTGTCAGCAGAAGTTAAACAGCTGTAAACAAGAAAGTCTAACATTATCTTTCCATCTCCATATGCATATGTATGGTTTTGTGTGTATTTATCTTTCTATATAATTTGTCAGCAAACTTGCTTATGTTTGTAATAGTTGAATAGCCACAGAAACACAGGATGGGTCTGCACTGGTCAGTAAATTCCAAGCCCACTGTGGTGTAGGGTTTGCGTCCACATTGCCCACCTGGGCCAAGAATACAGAGGTTCTGTTTGAACCATCATCTCACCTTCCTTGTTGCCACTGTCACTCCCAGCCAACCATTTAGCTCTATGTAAGCTTTTGGCTGTCATAGGCACCCTGTTCTGGTATCACAGAGGCATCTGCAGAACCAGGAAGAAAGAAAGAACAATCTCCCCATGACCTCTGTTGATGTCAGAATGGGGTGTTCACTATGGCCAGGAGCTCGCATGGAGCTCTATGCTAGACGTGGCATCAAGACAGACATGATCTAGCCCTTTTCCCTGTACTGACGATAGTGCAGGGGAAAGTGGTGATTGGCGTCACGTGTGAACAATGTACTGGTCCAAATCAGACCTGATCACACTGCCCACACTGCCCTAAAGCCACAGGATACTTTGGAGTCTTAATCACACTCAAAAGTACTCCCCTGCTTTGCCTAAATGGGGCATATTTGATTTAACCAGGATAACCCGTGATGCTCATTAGAAGTACAGGAATGTTGTGAGGCCAACCACAACTTGAGTTTTCAGGCTCATGTAGACTTGCCCTTATTCTCAGGAGACCAGTGGTATCTTGGAAAAGGGGCATGCTAACTTCAAAGACAGTAAAGAACTGGCAGGTTAAAAATCCAAATGAAGAACGAGCCCTTTTCTCACCACTGCGCAGACCTCCATGACTAGACAGTTGCAAAGCTCTCTCTGGGCAGTTCCAGCGATCCCAAGCAAACTGGAACTTGCATTCTTCAATTCCACTCTGTGCACCAGCTGCAACACTGCTGGAATAGATAAGGTATGCCTGCAAAAGGAAAACAGTAAAATCAAAAGAAGAACTTCTGAGAAAAGTTTGTTTGTTAATTGCCTGTCTACTTGTAAATCTAAAGAAAATGGTTACATTGGCTTAGAACGTGGACCTTTTCTCAGTTTTGTCCATCTGGATTCTAAGTACATCACCACTGAGACTGAAAGGTTGGAAGGCCAGAGAGAATAATTGGAGAATAGACTTATGAGTGTATCCCTATATAGCAGGGTCCTCAAACTTTTATAGCCAAGGGCCCAAGGGCTTTTATAGCCAAGGGTTCATGGTCCCTCAGACCGCTGGCGGGGGTCAGGGGTGGACAGACTATAGTTACAATATTTAAAATGAAGAATAATGTTAATCAATATAAACTTACCAGTATTTCAAGTGGAAGTGTGGACCTGCTTTTGGCTGATGTGATAGTCCAGTTAATTAGATTGTTGTTGTTGTTGTGTGCCGTCAAGTCATTTCAGACTTATGGTGATCCTAAATTTAAAATTTAGGCAGGGGCCAGATAAAGGACCTTGGAGGTTTGCATCTGGCCCACAGGCCTAGTTTAGGGACCCTTGCTGTACACGGTTTCTCTATCCAAATCCTGGATATGAAAGTGTGAAGTTACTGTTGGACACTAGGGACAGAATGAGACTTCCATGAGCATCCAGATCCCTCCCTGACCTCACTTCTGATCAAGTGGGGACAACCTGTGAGACAGAAATGAGGGTTCCCAGGCTACTGCTGCTATTTGTTGTTGTTGTTATTTTTATCCCACTTTTTCTTTCCACAAAGGAGACTCAAAGCGGCTTTTAATCCGTGGTGGGTAATGGCATCAGCATATGTACCAAGGCTGTCATGAACTCTACACATCATTGGGCCAATCTGTGTAACAGAACTCTCTGGGAGCTTATAGACAGCACCAAAATCTGTGCCAAAGTGGGCAACAGAGCAAGAAAATATAAGCAAACAATCCTAGGCATTTTGAAATGGAATTTAAAATGCCTTGGATTGTTAGGATTAGAAATATATTTATTGTTGTATTGTCGAAGGCTTTTATGGCTGGAATCACTGGGTTGTTGTAGGTTTTTTCGGGCTATATGGCCATGTTCTAGAGGCATTTCTCCTGACGTTTCGCCTGCATCTATGGCAAGCATCCCCAGAGGTAGTGAGGTCCTCACTACCTCTGAGGATGCTTGCCATAGATGCAGGCGAAACGTCAGAAGAAATGCCTCTAGAACATGGCCATATAGCCCGAAAAAACCTACAACAACCCATATTTGTTGTTTGTTTGTTTCCTGTGTCTCCTGAAAGCTGGGAAACCCAATAAGGAAATGTGAATTTTGTGCCAATTTTGCCTGGCAATCACAGTTCCATAAATGCTTCTGGATGACGCATTTCTGTGAAGAAATGCTATATTTTGGCATGATTTTGTATATGAAAAAATGTGTTTTTATACAAATCAAAAATATTTACAAAAATATTGTTTCTGAAAGTAGTGTTATTTTGCATACAGCATGTCATTTTCTATCTAAACAAGCAAACAAAGCCCCTGCAGACTAATATTCTGGATATCAGGCAAAAATGAAAATGTCATTGTATTGTCGAAGGCTTTCATGGCCGGAATCACTGGGTTGTGGTAGGTTTTGTTTGTTTGTTTGTTTTTTGGGCTATATGTCCATGTTCTAGAGGCATTCTCTCCTGACGTTTCGCCTGCATCCATGGCAAGCATCCTCAGACCTCACTACCTCTGAGGATGCTTGCCATAGATGCAGGCAAAACGTCAGGAGAGAATGCTTCTAGAACATGGACATATAGCCCGAAAAAATCTACAACAACCCAGAAATGTCATTTATTCTCCCTGAATCAGGGAGAAAACCATGGGAATTATTTATCTTTGCATGTAAGGCTGAGATAGATTTTCATCCCAAAATGAAACACAAGCACAAGGTTGAATCCAGCAATCCCAACATAATAACTAGGGGAGGTGGCCTGCCAAAATTCAACCTCTGGCTTGAATCCTACTCTGCCTTTGGGCTCTGTGTGCATAGAAAATGCAGCCAGTCAGGAGCTTATGCTAGTCAGAACCCCAATGCCATTCCGCTATCATTTGTGGAGTTTATTAACCTCACATTTGGATCATGTTTTATCCCAGCCTTTGAAACCACGTCCTCCCCTTCTTGCCATACAGCATCTTGTCAAATAAACTTTTCTCTAGAGTTTTAAATGGTCCAGCCATTCCTGCTGATGTCTCCCTCCAGCTTCCCCCTTGTCCCCTTCACCTTGCTTTTAGTTAATACATTAATTCCAAAATAGTATCTTTTTAATTAGATTATGCTTGTGAAAGAATATCTATGAAGGTCTGCGATCAATATGGGAACATTCAACGCCAAATAGATATTGCAGCCTAGTAAATGATTCTGGGAAAATAAGAAGTTCAAATGAAGATGATCCATTTCATGGGAACACACAAACCTTTCCTATTATTCTGAATGGAAATCACAAGCAGCCCCTTTTTTCAGCTATGAGACAGCAGTTTACTATAATCTCTGTTGAGGAATGCGGAAACGTGCTCAAGGCCAGACTTACTTGATCAAATGCAGAAAAATACAAATCCTTACTATCTGTACCAAACTGTGGGGGGATATTTAGGGCTCGTTTCCTAACGTTAAGCCACAATTTGCTTCCTGGCAATACCTGCCTGCTATTATTAATCCTGCTAACCAGCCCAGTAGCCAGGATTTTGATTTGGGGGGGGGGGGAGGCTGAGCTTGATTTGGGGGGGGGGGGGCTGAGGATCTACCTTAGCAAACCTTTTGTATTGTTATCCCAATACCCCCATGCATATGTGATATATTGAGCATGGTAATCAGATCATGGTATGAATAACCATGGTACATTTAAATAATGTAACTGGTACATTTAAATAATGTACCAGTAAGGCCTTCCCATGGACCACCCTGAGAATTTCGAGGGGGGGGGGGAGCTGAAGTCCCTCATGATATAATTGGGCCAAATTTCCCACACAGAGACCCCCCTGACCAATAGAAAATACTGGAGGGATTTGGGATGAATTGACAGTAATTTAGGAGAGGTGTAGTTCACCTACATCTGGTGAGCACTGTGAACCCAAATGACTATGCCAAAGGGATTCCCAAGACCATCAGAAATATGTTTTCTGATGGTCTTTGGTGAGCCCTCTGAAACCCCCCTCCTGACCACGAGGTTGAGAAACACTGTTCTAGGAGATTTTCCAAGCTGGGTTCTTCTCCAAAGTAAATATATCTGGCTTCATCAAGCTGGTGAGGTGTATTCATGAACCTGGATCTGGAAGAGAGTGACTTGGCTTCTGATCCCTTCTCAGCCTGATGCTCACTTGATGGCCATCTCCAAGTGTGCTTGCACACAATATATTTATAAAAGGTTTGAAGCCACCTTTACCTATTGTTCGTTCTTATGGAATCCTGGGCAACTTAACATCCTTTTCCAAAGAGCTCTGGTACACTCCCTGGACTTCTGCACTAGACATCTCTAGCACAGAATTCTCAGTATCTCACCAAACTGCAAATTTCAGGATGAAGACAGGGCAGATAAGGTGGAATCAAACTGCTACAACTATGCAATGAAAATACATTCCCAGTAATATTGTCAGGATAAAATGGGAAATACATTCCTATACCTGTTCTTTTGCTTTTGCATTTTGAGTTTAGTTGGTAAGAAACAAATCAAATGCAGGAAGCTCCCGTATGACCCATAGCAAATCTGAGAGACTGGAAATAAACTACATCCAAGGAATCAGGGCTTATTGGAATTAGAATCACAGATCAAAGGGACTGCACTTACCTTGGGACCAGTCATCAGGAAATTATTCACTGACCTGGAAAGGAGAAAAGGGTTCATCATCTTCAATGGGGAGAAGCCGAGGAAATGCCTGGAATTCCTCTGTTTCACCCGCTCCAGTCTACCCACCACCACCAGTTTTGCCCAGTGGCCTCCAATTGCACCTGCCAATTGTTGCCCACTAGTTACAGCTGAGGATATATGGACTAAACCCCATGTTGTTGTCTTATCTAATATTCTTGCATATTGTAAAATGTACATTTGATTAAAAAAAATTAAAGTCAGGTTAGATTTTCAAAGAAAGCCAATGTGGGGTGTGGAGGGGGGGGGCATTTCCTACATTTCTACATTTCAGGGAACTAAAATGTTCTAGATCAGATTTATAGAGTTGATATATGAAATTATGGGAGACTTTTCTCCAACAGCTGTTGTTCTGAAGTTTGTTCAGTTCTATGTTTTATAAAATCAATATCTGAGTTATGCATATGAACTTTTGCAACGTGGAGGAATTTTGTGAACATTTTGAAATATAGGTATTGAACAGCAGAAAGTGTTGCATCTCAGCCTGTCACCCCTTGCATGTATAGCCAATGGTAGGAATAATGGGAGCTATAGTTCAGCAATGTTTGGAGGGTCACACAGTAATAATGAAAAATAATAAATGAATAACAACCAAAAAACATAAAAGCAAAAACAATCCATAAAACAAAATTAAAATGGGAGTATTATAAAATACAACAGCCAAGTTAAAACACACTAAACATAACATAAAACAGATTGCATTGGAGCTCCCTCCATCAGACCAGGTTCAACAAAGATTTCTTAAATGGGCATGATCAAGCTATTAAAAGGGCTGGGCAAGGGGTAGAGCAAATGGCGTACCATAGGGCCAGGGAAGTGGATGAGGTGCAATCTGGTGACATAGGGACTGGACATATACAGTATAACTAGGGAATCATTCTCGAATGTTTTCTGGAAAATCCAGGTTTTCAAATCCCTACGAAAGGAGGACAGTGTAGGGGCTTGCCTAATCTCCCTGGGGAGGGTGTTCCAAAGTCGGGGGGCTACCACCGAGAAGGCCTCTCACTTGTCCCCACCAGCTGTGCTTGTGACTGTGGTGGAAGCGAGAGGAGGGCCTCCCCAGTAGATCTTAGAGCCCGCGCCAGTTCATAGGGGAAGATGCGATCATAAAGAAAGGCAGGGCCCAAACCATTTAGGGCTTTGTAGGTCATAATCTGACCTTGAATTGGGACCGGAAACTTATTGGCAGCCAATGGAGCTGCTTTAATAAGGGTGTCGTGCTCTCCCTGTAATTAGCTCCAGTTAGAAGCCTGGCTGCCGACCTTTGCACCAGTTGCAGTTTCCAGGCCATCTTCAAAGGCAGCCCCACATTGAGTGCATTGCAATAATCCAATCTGGATGTAACCAAGGCATGGACCACCATGGCCAAATCAGGTTTCTCGAGGTATGGTCACAGCTGGTGCACAAGCTTTAACTGTGCAAAGGACCTCTTTTCCATTCAGAGAAAATACTGAATCCGGGTCTAATAGTGTTTCATAGACAACCAATCCTCAAATTTTGAGTGAACTCAATGAGCACCACTAGCTAGCCTCCCCTTTTCTGTAGAGTAGCATTTGTAAGCTGAATGAAAGACAGCTACACAATGAGAGCACTTTAGAGGGGAAAGTACAAGCGAGGGCACACTACAGTGTGATCAGCGGTGTTTTTCAAGTTTGCAATAGAATTTAATATGGCATTAAATCTAGTTTGTGCCCTAATTTTCACAATATAATTTGGCCAAAAAGATGTGCTTTTCATTCCAGTAAATACAGTATATATGTATGTGCGTATACATATTTATGTACAGTTGTGTCTCTCTTATTCAACATAAACAGGCCAGCAGAACGTTGGATAAGCAAAAATGTTGGATAAGGAAAAGCCTATTAAACATCAAATTATGTCATGATTTTACAAATTAAGCACCAAAACATCACATTTTACAATGAATTGTCAGAAAAAGCAGTTCAATACATGGTAATGTTATGTAGTATTTACTATATTTACGAATTTAGCAGCAAAACATCGCAATGTATTGAAACAGCTCTGGATCCGAGTGGGAAGCAGACTGCATTGGATAATACAGAATGTTGGATGAGCAAAAGTTGGATAAGTGAGACTCTATTGTGTATGACTTTATCACACCAGCTATGGACATGTTGCAATCAGGTTATTTAAGGAAACAAAGATACATTTACTGGAACCATTTGTTCACACCTTGGTAGAATTGGGTGATGCTGGCACCTTGTAGATGTTAATTTTCGTAATCAGTTTTCCATACAGCTTCTCTTCCTACCTATGTTTCTCCTACAGTGTACTGTTTTTCCCCTACATGTTCCTATTGACCACAACTGCATGGTTATGCTGTAATTGCACTTTAGTAGCCTTGTGTGATAAAGTCCATAAATATAATTGGTGCTTATGTTCAAGTTCATGTTGAATCGTAAATTTGATTGGATGATCACACAGACATTGATTGGTAACATATAATAAATGTTGCCCATAGTTAACCCACAACATGGTGTTGTCTGGTGATTCCGCAGGTTGGAGAGCAATGCACTTTAGTGGCCTTGTCCATAAATATAATTGGTGTTTATGCGCAAGTTCGTGTTGTGTGATAAAGTCCATAAATATAATTGGTGATATAATAAAAAAAAATTCATTACTTTTTCCCTTTGAAATGTGATTATGAAAACTGTTTTAAACTAAAGTCTAAATGCACACAGGGATGGCTCAACCCATTACACAAAATAAGCACTTGCAGTATATTTGATTTTGCCCAGCGGCGCTCTTGAGGCACTCTTGGGGGAAAATAGACCTTGACATATGCGAGTTGTAGTTACTGGGATGTATAGTTCACCTACAATCAAAGAGCATTCTGAACTCCACCAATGATGGAATTGAACCAAATATGGCACACAGAACTCCCACAACGAACAGAAAATATATATCAGTGATTGGTTGGGGGGAGGGGGGCGCCAAAATACTGTTTGCTTACCATTGAAAATTACCTAGGGCTGTCTTTGAATGCACACATTAATAAATAAACAGAAACCTGAAGAACGATATTACTGTTGTGTGTTTTAAAGTTGTTTCTGACTTATGGTACCCCAAAGTGGACTTATCATGGGGTTCCTGCCTTGGCGAGATTTGTTCTAATTAGGAGTTTTGCCTTTGCCTTCCTCTGAGGCTGAAAGTGTGATTTGTTCAGTGTCAAGTGGGTTCCCATGGTCTCCAGAGACATAGTCCAATGTTCAGATCACTACACTTGCTCCCGCTGGCATTATATTTCAATAAGAATTCATTAGTGGTCCTTGTACAAACTCTCTCTTTATTCAGTATAGAATATTATCTACAGTATTTAAGGATGAAGTGAACATTCTTGATTATTACATACTGGAGCTTTTCCACAGTTCTACTTAACCTGATGAAGCAGCTATTAATGAGTACAGATTGGAGATGAGTGTCTCAGCTCAGGTTCATTAATCAAGTTCAATTTGTGTGATTCAGAATGGGTGGCCAGATAATGTTAATCTTGAGTAGATGACTATGGGCCCTTCGAAACAGGCTCTGTATCCCAGGATCTAATCCCAGGTTTTCTGTTTATCCCAGATTATCTGACAGTGTGTACTCATATAATCCAGTTTAAAGCAGAAAACATGGGATCAGATCCTGGGATATAGGGACTGTCTGGAAGGACCCCTTGTGGCAAATTATGGTGCATCGGCAAATCTAAATACCATTACCTTTGCCAGTTTGTTCTCAAACTAAAACACTACAGAAGTGAAAAGTGTAAAAGTGCATTTACCTTCAAGTGTAACAAAGGTAAATGCACCAAATCAATTACTGCTGCCAATCAGCATATCTGTCTGGAAAAATTCCCTAAAGAACCATCAGGAAAACCCAAAGAGAATGTGCCTCATCGGAACAATTTTTCCTGCAACCCAACCTCTCAGCCTTCTTTATTCATCATGGTCACTTTCATAATTTATATGATCCCACTTGAACTTAATACACAAAGAAAATGACAAGCCTTTTGCACAAGCACACACTTTTTTGCTCCTTTCATTAGCAAATCAGGAAATCCTTAAAAGATGAGAGTTTTGTCCAAATTGGGAAACTAGTTACCAGTATTGAAACAAAGATGCTGAAGGAAGATTGAAACAAAATTTAATATCCTTTTTATTATTGAAACTACAGTAGAGTCTCGCTTATCCAATATAAACAGGCCAGCAGAATGTTGGATAAGGGAAAATGTTGGATAATAAGGAGGGATTAAGAAAAAGCCTATTAAACATCAAATTACGTTATGATTTTACAAATTAAGCACCAAAACATCATGTTTTACAACAAATCGAGAGACAAAGCAGTTCAATACACAGTAATGTTGTGTAGTAATTACTATATTTACGAATTTAGCACCAAAACATCACAATGTATTGAAACAGCTGTAGATCCAGGCAGGAGGCAGACTATGTTGCATAATACAGAACGTTGGATGAGCGAAGGTTGGATAAGCAAGTCTCTACTGTAATAAGAATAGTTTCCCAGTCAGCATTAAATAGCAAACTAAGGGCCCTTCCAGACAGGCCCTACATCCCGGGATGTAATTCCAGGTTTTCTGCATTAAACTGGATTATATAAGTCCGCACTGCCAGATAACCTGGGATAAACAGAAAACCTGGGATCAGATCCTAGGATAGAGGGCCTCTCTAGAAGGGACCTATAATTCATTTACAATGTCTGCTGGTTTGTAAATGAAAGTTGTTGCAGTAAGTCATAGCAGGACCATGTGTGTGTGAAGAAAAACCTTGTGGTGTTAATTATCTTATACAGTTGGGAAGGTAGGTCAACCAGCAAGATTGAACCACACCCAATGGTGTATATCTGTATGGGGTTTTGCAGTGTGGGGGTGGTAGGTGGTTTGGATGGTGAAATAGTCATTTATTCAAGATTTATTTTTGCTCTCTCATTTGATGTAAAATGAAGATGCCTTCTTTCGTGGACTATGTAAATTTCTTGCATTGTTTGATTTTTGTATGCATTGCAAGTCTTATATTTTCAATTCTCCTAAGTAAAGAGCAAAGATTTTCTGTTTTATTTTTGCTCTGGTCTGTGAGTTTTTTTGCATTCGGACTTTGGGCACTGGGTAAAATTCATCGCTGTGCAACAAAGTCTCATCTGTATCTTGTGTTATTAAGCTAAGATAGGATGGCCCAACTATGTCTCATACCATTTCAATCATGTCCACTTTCAACATGAGCTGAATTTTTGTTTCGAAATTAGGATAGCAAATACTTTTTATTGAAATGCCTGTGTGCCCATTTCGTGAGAGATCTTTGAAACAAAATCCTTTTATAGACAAAAAAAAGAAAGGAATTTACACATTCAGGTATAACAGAGGTAAATGTACCGAATCAATTACTGCTGCAAATCAGCAAATCTGTCTGGAAAAAAATCCCTAAAGATTTAACTTATTTATTATTTATTTATTTCAAACATTTGTACCCAGGTTTTCTCAACCTCTGAGGGGGGCTTACACTGGCAACAATTTGATGCCATCACACAGCATAGCAATAGAACACAATTAAATATTGATTACAACATTAAATATAAATAGGCAATTAAAACATTAACAATAATATGGCCGCATCCAACTTCTTTTTAAGTAAGTCTGTTTGAATTTCTTTCAATTTTGTAATTTGCAACTGAAGGAACAGTCCAACCTCCCACCATGCACGAACATACAATCAAAACACTCCCAACAGATGGTCATCCCACCTCTACTTAAAACCTCCAAAGGGGACTTTTGCACACTCCAAGGCAGTAGATTCCACTACTGAACAGCTCTTACCACCAACAAGTTATTTTCTAACATTTAGGTGGAATCTATATTTAGTTTTTAAATCATTTTATGTAAATGCGGCCCGCCCTTTGTCTTTTATTATGCTTAGTTCCTATATTTTGTGTATATTGTTTTATATGCTTTGATGTTTTATATTTTAATGTTATGTTGTTTATTTTATTGCAATTTGTATTGTTATATTGTAATTCTTGTTCGGGCTTGGCCCCATGTAAGCCGCTCCGAGTCCCCTTTGGGGAGATGGTGGCGGGGTACAAATAAAGTTTATTATTTATTATTATTATTATTAACTGTGATTCAAACTGGATTGCATGTCCATGATGTGCTCCTTCATCACACTAGAGAAAAAATCCATTTAAAATATGGTTTCTGCCTCCTGCAGAATTCTGGGGTTGGTAGTTTAGTGACACTGTTAAAGGCTCCTCCTTAAACTACAAACCCCAGAATTCTGCTGGAGGCAGAAATCAGATTTTAAGTAGATTTTTTCTCTCTAGTGTGATGTTTGATAATGTTCCCCTAAAAGTAACCTTTGTCACTTACTGAAAGAATGAGTGACCATCTAACATTCTTTGGATACATATATGTCCATGGGTGAACAGACCACCCACCCACACAATCTTGTTATTTGCTTACAATATCATGAACGATAGGACTCCAGCTGTGCAGACGTAGCTTGTTCTCCTAGCAGCAAAACACCATAATGGGAGTGATAACTCCTGGAGTTCTCGAAAAATGATATACTGCAATGTTACACCAATCTCCATGATCACCTTATTCTCAAATCCTGCTGTAGAATTTATTGATTTCAGCTTCTCCAGATACCCCCATGGAAGCTTTATTCTTTCACAGTTTATATAGAATCTAAACATTTTTACCTTGATGAATCTTGTAATCTTTTTAAGATTTAACATCAGATATAATTTGCTTATTGATTAGATTACTTTATAGACCTTCACTGAAGACACACCAAGGTTATAGATTATTCAGAGATGTATAGAGCTGCAGTTGATAAAAGAAAACCTTCCGAATGGGCTAAACTACTGGATATTTTTTATTTCTGCCTCCCATCCTCCGCCAGTAATGTAACCCAAATATAACTGAAAAAGAAATCAATAGCAATAGCTAAGGACTGGGTTTTATTTTATTTTATTTTTGTGTCAGGAGCAACTTGAGAAACTGCAAGTCACTTCTGGTGTGAGAGAATTGGCCATCTGCAAGGGCGTTTCCCAGGGGATGCCAGGATGTTTTTTGATGTTTACCATCCTTGTGGGAGGCTTTCTCATGTCCCCGACATGGGGAGCTGGAGCTGACAGAGGGAGCTCATTCGGGTTCTCCCCAGATTTGAACCTGCGACCTGTCGGTCTTCAGTCCTACTGGCACAAGGGTTTAACCATTGGGGACTGGGCTGAAAACATTCCTTCCTTGTCAAAGCAAAGCTGGGATTTTCAAAAGGAAAGCTGTGTTTGAATACAAAAATAAATGGGAGGGGTTGTAGGTGCCTTTTAAGACTAAGCAGTTTATCCTTTAATGATTTTTTAACTGATTACTCTTTTATAATGATCTATCTTAGAGTGATGGAGTTGATTAGAGTTGATGCCAAGCCTACAAAACTCTTCCTGAACTGGTTGGTCATTTTACAATTCACACTTCTTTTACGTTTACCATGAAGAAGTGGAATCTCTGCTGTCTGAAGCAAATGCAGTGAGTGCAGTTTTGCCCATAGTTTCAAGATGTTGCAAAAGTCTAGATTGCAGAAAGCTGTTAAGCACAGAATCAATCAAGCAGTGAGTAAACCTTCCCAGACAACTTAGTTAAGACCGGATGGGAGGGTGGCAAATAAGATTAAATGATAGGTGATGTCTGAATTCATTCTGGAATTGATAAACTGAAGAAGTTTGCTGAATTGTACACCAGTAAAACTTACAGAATAATAATAATTTTATTTATGTATTTATTTATTTATTTATTTATACCCCGCCACTATCTCCCCAAGGGGACTCGGGGCGGCTTACATGAGGCCAAGCCCAGCAAAACAATACATCAATATAAAAAGAATACAGCAATAAAATGCAAGAAAATAAAAATACAATATAAAAACCATTATAAATAACACATTAACAATATAAAATCACCACGTTAAAACACAAAGATCAGACAGGGACATAGAACTAATAGAAGATAAAACATTGCCTAAAAGGGCTTTGCCTCTTTGACATCTTTTCCAGAAAAATCAAAAACAAAATGAAATAGGAAATAATAGTTCTAAGTGATGCATCCAAAATCTCTTTCTTTCTGGGCAAGATAGCAGAAAACCTTAGCCCTTCTTAATATTACCAGGCAATATATCTAAATTAGAGAAAACACTTCAGGAAAACCAATTGCATTTATTGCTGATGTATGATAAAGTTTTATTGACAGCCATAGAAAATGAATAGAAAGATATTCACAACTCAGAATTTTCATTGAAAGATGCAGAAATGCTTCTTTTAGAGCTTTCCTTTTTATTCCCACTCTACTGAAATGCCACGCTGAAAACCTCTGATTTTAACAGATTCACAGGAAATTGATTCTAACAAAGCTATTATAGCAATTTTTAGCTATTTCAGAGGTTAGAACTGAATGACCGTTTTTTGCTTGCATGCTTATGGTCAAGAGCAAGAGAGATTCAAGGTGAATTTGGGTTGGGAATTTGCAGGTAGAAGAACTCCCAACTCTACCATTATCTGACTCTTCCCTCAAAATTAGAAGTGATTTCCCAGAACTGTTACAAGTAACTTTGCTGGGACTCCTGCAAAATTATCCAAGCAGTTGCTTGGACTTTTGAACAAATACCTATGTGGGATCTGCCCTGGAGTAAGCACAGATTTCAGTAAAATGACAAATATCGAATAATTCAAGAAAAAAAGAAAAGGGAATGACAATTTCTGATACCAAGGGACAAACGTTTCTGTGCCGTTTTGTCCTACCTGGCTGCCTATAACGCAAAGCAAGGAACTCCGAATACTCACCAAGGATGGCTGAAGTGGAAGAAGGACACAAGAAGCAAGGTTGCTGGATAAGAGCCCATTTGAAACATTACCCCCCTCAAGAAAACGAAAGGAAGAAAAGAAAATCAAAGAACGGAAAACAAAAGAAATAATATTCGAATGGTAATTTGTTGGGGGGAAGGTAAAAACAAACAAGAAGAAGACTAAATTGAGGCTCTATCCTCTGTTCCTAAAGTGTGTAGAGAAGTTGAAAGACTCCGAATCCGAACTTAGCTGGAGAACAATCGGTCCTGAAGTGCAAGGAAAGGGGATTGGTGAAATGGAGCCACTGAAATTTGTAAGAAGAGATTATCTTCTTAATTAAAGATTTTCCTCCCTCCAAGTCCTTCGGCCAATCAGGATTCAAGTGCCAGAGAGAAAATGAACTGATCAAAAGAACACCCCAGGTCCCTCTAAGACAAATGCACCAAGGAAAGGAATGGGGTGGGGGAAGAGATAAAAGAGGGGAAAAGACAGAGCAAATCCCTCCAATAGTCACTGGGTGCAATCTCCACCATTTTGCATCATCCCCAAAGGCAACTAGAACAGCTCTCTTGCAAGCATTTTATCTTTTGCCTTGGAGGCTTCCAGTGCAACGAGTACTTCTGTTAATTACTTTGTGTGGATAGAAGAAGAAAGGTATTTGTTCTTAGTTTGGGAATGGGGTTACTGAAAACTGCAGGGAAGTTATAGGTATTTGCAACTCATTCTTCAGAGGCCTGGACAAACAAGGAGTCAATATCAAATACCCATGGCATCCCCATAGCCCTTTCACTCACTTTTTGAAGGATATCATGTAGGCAGGGATGCTATCAGGAGGTTCAACTAACTCAAATTGTTCTTCTTTATAAACATTACTAGCCATCCCCTGCCACACGTTGCTGTGGCCCAGTCTGGTGATCTGGAAAATGATCTGGAAAATAATGTAATAAGAAAGTGTTGGTTTCGAATATATGTAATTTCTTGATGCTTGTGGGTAAACAGTATTTCTAGTTTCTTTGTCAGTGTTGATGTGGAGATTGTCTGATTTGCCTACTCTGGAACATCCAACATATAATTGTCCTTCCTTCAGGGCCCCTTTCAAATCTATAATATATGTGTGTGTTTGTGTGAATCACACAAGCACAAACGCACATTTATGTATATGATAGATGTGTGTGTTTGTGTCAGAAGGGCTTTGATTAGCTGTCCCCTGCCATGCATTGCTGTGGCCCAGTCTGTGTATATGTGTTTTGTGTGTGTATACAGTATAAGTGAATATGTGTGTGTATATATTTGTGTATATGTGTATATATGTGATTTTGCACATGCTTGCAATGTATTTTTATTTTTTGGCTTTTTATTATTTATTTATTTATTTACAACATTTATATGCCACTCTTCTCATCCCGAAGAGGACTCAGAGTGGCTAAATACAATATATTATATTATTACCATAACACAATATTAGAATTATATATTACTATATTGTACTATACATTATACTGTAATATTATTAGTAATATTACATGTAATATAAAATATATAATTATAATATCATATTGTTATTATTATTACATTGTATCACATTATAATATTATCAATATTATCTGTATACACAATATATTAGATTATATTATGTCTCTTCCATTGTGTTTTTCAGTGTTTTTATGAGTGATGGTCACTCGTTGGCCTGATAGGTGTCTTGTTTCCAAATTTGGTCTCAATTCGTCCAGTGGTTTTTGAGTTATGTTAATCCCACAAACTAACATTACATTTTTATTTATATAGATTAGTATGGCAGAGGACTACATGAAGTGACATTTCTATAGCAGGTAAACCAAAGAGATGTAGAAATATACACTAAAAATCTCTTCACACATGCTGTCAGATCACAAATTGTGGCGATTCTAGCAGTTCCTGTCTGTGGATGTGGAGAACCCATCACCCCATGCCTCGCATTGCCCGACCCACATATGTCCCCAGCCCATGGGGGAACATGTCTACCTGGCTTCCCCCTGTTGATCCAAGACAACATAGGAAACTTACTATACAATATCCCAGAGTACTTGTTGAGCATCTAAACAAATCTAGGTAAGGAGAAGGTATAATATCCAAAAAGCATATAGTATATAATATTTAATATTACCAAAGTCCCCAGTACACAGCTCAATTCATTGGCATAAAGCAAATTGATGAGGAGGAGCAGCTCTCAAACAAAATAGTTTTAAATCTGATAGATATAGTATATGGGCTTCAGGGGTACATATTCAATAAAGAAACCTTCCAGACGAAGTAAGCAGACGATGAGTCATGTGGCTATATGAAGAATGGAGAAAATAATGAAGATGCAGCACTGCTCTCAAAAAACTCTTTGTGAATAAAGTCCACGTAAAGTCCAGTGATAATGGAGCACCGCTCTCAGAAAGCGTCTTCGTAAGAAAAGTCCAAATAGAATCTACAGGGGTGCCCAGGTATTTTTGTACTCTGTTTCGAGAAAAGCAATCCCCTTCTTCAGAAGTTGATATGATCAGCAACTCTAGACTTATATCTAAAAGAAAACATAGAGTAACAAGTACTTTGCCAGCAAAATTACAGAAGTAAAAAATAACCCATATATCAAATATATACTCACATAGTGCCTGATAGCTTTACAAGAGACACAGGAAGCCTCCCATGGTGCCGTGGTGGTGGCATGCGGTAGTTTTCCTACTCTTTTACAACAGAGGCCCGCCAGAAGTTGCAGTGCATCATAGGATGGGACCCAGTGGGCTACATCATTAAGGAGAAGGTGAATCAGTTCATGCCCCCGATTTTTCCCTCATCTGATGAGGTCACAAGTTAACAAAAAGTGCATGGCAACAAAATGGTATAGAAATCTAATACATTTGAGGTGTTCCTAAATCATTTCCAAATTCTTGTCTTTGGAAATGTGTGTGGGATTTTGCACTCAGGCAATCCCATAGCTACCACCAAATATGAGTATCCTTCTCATACAGTCTCACCACTGTGACTAAATGTTGGGCTTTTACTCTGTCACCCACCAACTGGGAAGACTTCCTCAATGTTCATTACAATTATGAAGAGGGGAGGCTTTCCTTGATCCCCACATCTGTAATACCAAATTTAGGTCAATGCAAAAGTCCTTCAATGTACCTATGAGGATTTATGCAACTTCTATCCATAATGGATACCACCATCGATATTCCTTGCTGTTCTATTCTATTCAGAATCGGGCAAGATCAACTGAGCCTTCCCAAGTTTTACTGTCACATATTTTATATGACCACAGAGCATTTGTTTTCCCCTGTGTATCTGGATATGAATGATCTTTCCATGTTTGGCTAGTTGGTATCATAATGGATCAAGTTGCTGTCAGAAAGGGAAAAACAAAATAAAAAAGAATAAAAATAGAAGTGGCCACAAGTCCACTACTTGCTTTGAAAAGTGTGCACAGCCCCAGAAAAGAATGCTTCCTATTCAACAGGCAAATTACTGTTCCTCGAGCCCAGGAAAATAAGTCACTGTTGTTGGGTTTTGGCCAGAAAAAAAGTTTTTCCGTGAGTTGAGAGCTGCAAAATAACTGGGAGATGTACATGTGCCCCCAAAGTCACATTTTGTCCATCCCTGAACCACCAAAACCCTTCAAGTCTGCAAAACTGGCTGATGTCATAAGCAGAAAAAAATGTCAAGTCCTATTTATTTAGTTCTTGTGGGTTTTTTCGGGCTATATGGCCATGTTCTAGAGGCATTTCTCCTGACGTTTCGCCTGCATCTATGGCAAGCATCCTCAGAGGTGAGGTCTGCTGGAACTGGGAAAAAAGGGGTTTATATATCTGTGGAATGACCAGGGTGAGACAAAGGGCTTTTGTAAGTTGGGCTAGGTGTGGATCTTTCAACTGACCACCTTGATTAGCATACAATGGGCTGACTGTGCCTGGAGCAAACTCTTCTTGAAAGGTGATTAGATGTCCCTGCCTGTTTTTCTCTCTGCTGTTTTTGCTGTTGCAATTTTAGAATTTTTTAATACTGGTAGCCAGATTTTGTTCATTTTCATGGTTTCTTCCTTTCTGTTGAAATTGTCCACATGTTTGTGGATTTCAATGGCTTCTCTGTCTATTTATTTACTTTATTTTTATCCCAGCTTTCTCCTGATATAAGGCCTCAAGATGGCTGTCAAGGAAGCTAAAACAATGCAAATTAAAATAATGTAAATGGATTAAAATATAAACATTAAAAATAAGTAAACATTTGTGTCATTAAAACCACTAAACATGACAGTATTATATACATTAAACACACCCTCCCCAAAATCTCAATCACACTGTCACCACAGTCCGCTATCCATTAGTCCATGAATGCCCAATAGCAGAGGAATGTATTGTCGAAGGCTTTCATGGCCAGAATCACTGGGTTGTTCTCGAGAACATGGCCATACAACCTGAAAAACCTACAACAACCCAGCAGAGGAATGTTTTCACCTGACAAAGAAAGGCAAACAGGGACTCTCTATGAAGGGAGTTCCAGAGTTTGGGAGCAACCACCAAAAATACAAGAAGAAAACTGATTTCTCTAAAAAATAAAAAGAGCACTTGCAGACAAAAAATAAAAGAGCACTTGCAGACAGCATTCTTTTCATCTAGACATTATTTGAAAGACTGTAAGGGAGAACATACAACCCTGCCGGTGTTTTGAGCTCTTCCAAGAAGGCCCTTCTCTCTTGTCCCATTATTCTCACTTATTACCTCTGGTGGGAATATGGGAAAGGGCTTTTCTGTGGCTGCTCCCAAGCTCAGTAATCCCCTTCCTCAAGAGATTAGACCGGGACCCTCCTTGATGTCTTCTCAGGCAGTAAAGACTTTTTGGTTTCCACATTTGGAAGACTGGTAAGCACATAATTCTCTGTATGGTTTTCCTTTCTTTTTTTTAAAAAAAAAATTATTCAGAGAAAAACAAGAATACAAAGCATACAACAAAATACAAAAACAAAACTGAGTAGATATCCATTTTCCTAATATAAAAAAACTATATAAAAATCTAAAATGCCTTTAGATTTCTGCCTAATGGTTTTATTCCCTCAATTTTCCACGGCCATTGAATAACACCACATAATCAAAACTCTTCTAGTTCAAAAACAAATAGTGAAGGTTTGACTCCAGCTTTGCTAAAGAAACACAATAAATAAGTTCCCAGTTTGTTGTTTTCCTTTTAATGGCTTATGTTTTTAATAGCTTTTAATTTTTGATAACTTGATCATATTTTAATCTTTTGT